CTCATCGCCGCCAGCCGGAATAGCGTGCTCCTAAAGAGGAGCAGGCAATTCCGGCACGCGATGTTCTGGTACCACGACGCGATGCGGGCGTGGCAGCAGCTCGCGTGGGCTGCTGGCAGGAAGGGGCAGGTCGGGCGCTGAGCGTGTTGCTGTGCGTGAGAGTGGTTGTGTGGCTTAAATGGGCTGTGGTGCGTACGATGGACGGGGGGCCTCTTGCGAAACCCGTCGCCCGTCGCTCTGGGCGGGGAGGAGATTGGGGAGTGGGAAAAGCCGTTGCCGGATTGTGGTGCGGGCGGGCTTGCGGGGGGACTGAGGGGCGGGGACTGCCCGAAGGTATGTGTCGGAGCGTGATTGGGTAGAAATTAGGGTTTTTGTAGGTACAGTACGTAATGGGCTCTGTCCCCATTGGAAATCAAAAAAAACAAAAAACTTGCAACTCTCCTGGAATGGGCGGCGCGGAACGAGGCAGTGGTGCAGTTTTTAGATGATTTTCCCGCCTCCCAACCAACTCTGGAGCTTGCGTGCCGCACACTCACTGCCGCCCCCTGTATCAACTGGAGTACCAAAACCCCCCAATCCTGTCCCCCCTCCCCCGGACCAAGTCGTACCCGCTTGTCCCATGCCGACCGCCCATTCTTCGGTATCACATGTTCTGCATGGCAAACCCTTCTTCCCCTACCGTTTTGGCCCACTGCCTGCCTCCTTGCCGTCCTCCCCCCTGCTTTATTTTCACTGGAAAATCGGCTCGCCGAAGTCTATCCACATCCAAAGCGTAAATCTAATCTGTCAGAGTGTGCGCCTCGCCTCTTTGAACCCACCGAATTATACCTCTGCGCTGTTCCACCATTGCCGTACCTTCGCGCCTGTACAATTGCCGAGCGCACGAGTCCACCACCCCCACTCTCACCCGCCATGCCACCCGCAACGAAGCACTCCCGCAACCGCGGCGGAGGCGCGGGCCGCCTAGAATACATTTCCCTGGACGGGCTTTGCATCGACGGCCGGCGCCCGACCGAGGGGCGCAAGATCCGGTGCTCGCTGGGCGCGCTGTCCCGTGCTACTACGAGCAAAGCAACACGCGCGTCCTCGCCGCCGTGTACGGCCCCGCGAGCCCCACTCGCGCGCAAGCGTCCAGCACGACCGCGCCGTCGTCAAGTGCGAGGTCTCCACCGCCATGTTCGCCTCCCCCATCTACCGCAGTACCTGGAAGGGCGACGGCAAGAGCACCGCCGCCGCCCTCGTCATGCAGAAGGCCTTCGAGGGCGTCATTCTGACCGCCTCGTACCCCAAGAGCCAGATCGACATCTATTTCCAGGTCCTCCAGAACGACGGCGGCGCGCTCGTCGCCGCTGTCAATGCTGCCAGTTTGGCACTGGCTAATGTCGGCGTCGCCATGTCGGATTTCGTCGTCGCTTGTGGTGTGGGCTTTGTGGACGACACCTTTGTCGTTGATCCTAGCTCGTTGGAGAGCGCCTCGGATCGCCCGGAGCTCACGCTCGCCGTCTTGAGTCACTCTGCTAAGATTGCTTCGTGTCAGTTGGATAGAAAGCTCCCGGATGGCGAGTCGTTTGAACGCGCTTTGGAGTTTGCGACGTCGGGTGCCAACCAAATTTTCAAGGTCCTCGAGTACGAAGTGCGCAAGTATAGCTTGAACGGGCCCGGCGGGCCGCGGCGCGGCGTGGCGCGCGCGAACCGGCCGCGAGGGGGAGAGGCCGGTGGCGAGCGCCAGGTGGGCGAGACAGGGGAGCTCGGGCGCGGGGGAGCGCGCGGGTGGGACGAGCTCCGCGGCGGAGGGCTTAGGGAAGGCGGGGTGCGCGGGTGCGCGTCCTGGGGGCGGCGGGGGCGCGGCTGGAAGCCGCGCGAGAGGAAGTCGGGCGAGGGCGGCATGCTGGTGCGGGGAGGCGGCGAGGTTGTCGGCGCGGGGGGGAGGGTGAAGGGGAAGGTGAGTGCGAACAAGTTGATCCGGACGACCCTGGAAGAAAGCGGCATGCTTTGTTGAGACGGATCAACGGACCGCAGTGCAGTGCGGTTGAGATCATTCGCCCGCCACGTGTCGCGTATTGCCACGTATGATACGTGCAACCGTGTACAGCTCAAGAGCAATCGCGCGAGTGGCGCGGGCTTTCGACATGCCGACTTGACCGACGCGTCCAAGGAGTATTTGCGCTTTCGCACTATTGCCCCAAAGGTCAAGTCGCTTAGGACCGAGCTGCACTCTCGCGCCAAGGTGAATCCTGCTGGGAAGGGGCCTCTGACTGGAAGGGATGGCGGTGCGGATGCCAGGGGGATGTACGGCCGGGGGGTGAATTCCATTTCGGACCCGTACTCGAATCCCGCAGCGAGCGGGATCTCGGGGCTTAATACGAACCCGGCGTTTTCGACGAGGAGCACTGCGCGCTTTATTTGTACTCTTGTAAACTTGCTTGACTCACGCGGTCTCGTCGCTTTGTAATTCTATCAATGCGCCTCGTTGTTTGTCTTAAGCTTATTAATGTCATCGGCATGTGGTGCCTTTGGGACACGCCGCATCTGAGCGTAATTGTTGTACAAATTTTGAAACCCCTGCGTTCATTGAACGTGCACTTCTTCGTCAAAGAACTCGGAAAGCGGCAAGTTCGACAACGGCAGCCCCGAACGAGACGGCTTACATGGCTGCACGCGAGACCAGCTCGGACGGAACCAAGGGAATGACAAGGAGCACAATTTTTAAAATGGCATAACTGGCCACGGCCCCGCCAGCGGCGCAAGCGACCCCTTGCGACGCCATCCTTGAGAGTGTATCGCAAGAAGGTTTGCTCACGCGGGGTGAACGAGGTGAAATGCTCCTCACGAATGGTATCTCTGGCCAACCGCAACGCCGTGGCAGTCTCATGTGGCTCGACTGCAGCGGCAATGGTGAGCACTCTTGCGGCGCGTTCGCGACGTATGTGCGACAGTGGCGGGGAAGGACCATCAGATGAACTACCTTCCGCTATCGCATAGCTGGGTCGAGAAAGCACGGAAAGCGCCACCAGGCTTGCCGGTCGCAGTCTGAAGCGGGCAAACATGACGGCCAGCACGGCTTTTGCGCGACCTCCCCCGGCATTCTTGAACTTTTCTGTGGAAGAAGATTTTGAGGTACCACATATGTTTTTACTGTTGAGGCACCTGAAATGAGATTTGCAGGGACTGTCGACGTGAAGACTGTCTTCTGTCCTTTCGGTGCAATTAAGTAGCTCGCCTGTTGTCCCGTATGCGCATCGCGTAGATTCGAATGTTGTGATAAAACTACCGCCGTTTGATCCCATTTTGTTCGAGCGCTCCTGTTTAGTGGAGCCGTTAGGACTTTTCATCTGGATGTGGGGGATAAAGATGGGTTTCGTTGTCCGAAGTGGTTCAGGAGCACGGCGATATATCGGTTTAGCAGGGGAAGGAGTGAAATATGCACATTCGGAGCCGAATATGACATACAAAAAGTCCAAATTTACCACCGCAGCAACCCGAAGTTAGACCTTCCTCCTGAATGGTCCGAGCCGCCCCTTGGGGTTTGTATCAACGAAGGCTCCGCTTATCGAATGTGATGTGCATGACAGCGCCCGCATTACCATCCATACCAGTAAGTACCTTATCTATAAGCACAGCGTAATAGTCTCTTCCAACTTAGAGTGTTCACTCGTGCCGTACAGATACGCATGTTATTTCCCACATGTGCGCACCGATGTTGTACTTGCAATTTGAAACAGTGCGAACCACCCACCCGCACTCCATAAAGGGTTCAGTACAGTTTACCATGTCAGTGCTAAGCATGAAAATGTTCATTTATACGACGACGCCAGTTGCTATCACACCTGTCTGATGTGAGCGAAGTGAGCGCTCCCGTATATGGAAGTAGAGGAAACAGGAATGTTTCTTAACAGTCATGGGAGTAACGTTATGTTGCCGTTCTAGTGCCGCGGGGGGAAAGGACGCTGGAGTAGAGCAGGCCGCCGCCGACGAGGATCGCGAGCGTGCGGCGCACGCTGGTGCGTCGCGGCTTAGTCAAACATCGAGGCCGAGGTCGAACGCGTGTTTCAGGGCGACGAACGCGGGAGCCAAGCCTGCGTCCAGCGTGGTAACCTTGGGCAGAAACCGGCCCGCGACCTCGGCCTTGTCGCACGCGAAGTAATATTAACTGACGGCCATCCAGCTGACGGCGCTCTTCGGATCGGGGTCGACCGGCGGGTGGGACGCTTGAAAATTGTGCATAACGGCACCCGACTTGCGAATTTCGACGAGCTATGAAGAGATGAGGGAATGCCACTCCGATGGCACTCCGCACGAACTACGGCGGTGTGATGCTACTGCGGTGGCACTCCGCATGTGATACGAAAGCACTGCACGGTTGACCGAGAGTTTCGCCCTGCTGTACCTAATGCTACATATACACTACGTAAATACTACGATTGCACCCCTAGTCCTCCGATCGCCCTGCGGGTAGCCTACGAACGCCTACAGTAGGGTTGCTAGGGTCGTCGTCCGCAGCCTGCTCTACTCCAGCGTCTTTTCCCCCCCCCCCCGCGCGCCATGCAACCCCCCCCCGCCCCCGCAACCTCACCGCCGCCCTATCCCCTACCAGCCACCACCCGGCCACGATCCCCCCACGCGCATGGTCACCCACCGTCCAAACACCGTCCTAGTCGCCATCACGCACGGCGGAGTTGGCAACCAGCTCTACTTACTTCTCGAGGCCCTCGTTCTCGCGCGCCCCGCCCACCTTGACCTCCTCCTCCCCTCCCTCCCCAGCCGACAGTTTAGCAAAACTACCAACGTCACCTTTGAGCGTCGAGCTGTCTGGAAAGGCCATACAATCTGGTCCATATTTGGGAGCTGCATATTCCTTCGCGCAACCACTGCCTGTCACATCCTCAAATCCTGCGCCAGTCGGCCACGCCGCTGCAGTTGCTTAGACAAATCGTGCAATCCCCTAGTGGCATTGGAAGCCAACTCCCGTGCTAATACTTCCCGGCTCTTGAGAGCCTGAGATCAAGCTGCGTCGAAGCCTTCCTTACAGGCCACAATCCATAGCGTGAAGCCCTTTGCATTAATATTTCCCTCCTAAGTAATTTATATTTCTACTGTGCCCCACAGGACGGACCTCCCCCTCACCTCCAACAAAAAGTTGTAGACAGATTCAATCCTTCCCCCCCTTCGATACACCCTCCTTTCCCCTTGTTCTGCCCTCCATTACTTCCAGTGTTAAGAACAACGTATCTCCACTCCTCTTCTTTTTCCCTCGCGCAGACACGCGAGGACGTCGGCGGCAAGCTGCGACTCTCAAAGAGCGAACCCGAGTTATAGAAGGTGCGCAGCAAGCCCCGCGCCGAGGAGGAGACGTTCGTGTTCAAGACATCCGACTGGGCCGAGGAGGTTAGCATCGAGCCGCTGCCGTGGCGCGGCGGCGGCGGCGACGACGGCGACGATGGCAGCGGCACGCGGTGCGTAGACACGAGATCGCGAGGAGGGGAGGGCAGAAGCGGAGGGGAGGGCAAAGAAGAAGTGGGGGGAGGGGCTGGGCGTAGACACGACGTGCGGCGGAGGGAAGAAGTGGCGCGGAGGGCGATGGCAGAGGGGTGTAGACATGACGTGGCGCGGCGAAAAGAGGTGGCACAGAGGGAGCAGAAGTCAGAGGGATGGGTTGGAGGAACGGAAGCGGGAAGACGTTTCAAGGGCGAAAGGCTTAGTTGTTGACGATTTGTTGCAGAATGTGTAAAAAGAATATGTTTACCAAGAGGAGAAATAAAAAGGTTTCTAGCTAAGACCCGTGCGCGTTTGAATTCGTTCGAAAGGGAGATGAACATAGACGAGACGAGGTTGGTGAGGAGAGTAAGAACAATATAAATACAATAGAAATACAATAAAAAGGCAATAGGAAGAAAGCAGAAAGAGAACAGAAAGAAGTAGGAAGAAAGTAGGAAGAAAGTAAAAAAAAGGAAGTAATTAAGTAACTAGGTAAGCTACGAATTGCTTCGGGCCACCTTGGTTACGGGCCGGTGGGAATCGAACCCAGGGCCTCGCAGGCGCAAAGTGGCAACTTCACCACCAGCAACTGGTTAACATCTCTGCCACGAACTCCCATCTCCCCAACAGCGGACTCTGCGGCGGCAGAGTGTGGACGGCAACGGTATTTATAGGTATGCATTTGTCCTCGCAATCAACATTAGGTATATAATTTGAAAGTGTGAGCGATGATCGCTCACCGCACCATGGTGCACTTTGTTTTTAGACATTAAAGGTCGAGAAAAAGGTTACAGTACTGCAGGTAGTAATTTACCTTCAGCTTTGCACAGTACCGGTACAGTAAATTTTACATGGCTGTGATTCCGCAATCTCAACTGCGCCAGGAGCTCGAGATCCGGAAGTGAAACGTGTCCACGTCGACAACACGCGCCCTGGATACATGCACTTACAACATACTGTATATATTTTTTGCAGACATTTTGCCCCTTTGCATTGTTTGCCACGAATTCCCATTCTCTGTAATCTCCCACCATCCCTGCCGTCCCTCCCATCTCCATTTTTTCCGCGATCCGACATCTGGGGTATCTCCGCCGTCTCCGCCCTCTTTCCTCGAGATCAACATGGTGAGGTAGGGTGGAGAGGAGAAGTGGTGCGGAGAGGAGAAGTGGTGCGGAGAGCGGAGAGCAGAGGTGGCGGGGAGGGCAGAGGCGGTGCGTAGACACGAGGTGGGTCGGAGGGCAGAGAGCGTGCTCGTTTCCTATCTGGGTCAGTCGCTGATAGAATCGGCCCAAACCGTGCCCGTGCAATATCTTCTCATATAGCCTCACCTCACCTCCTTGCCGCTATCTGTCACGCATGAGCACGCTGCGCCCTTTGCGCAATTGCCGTTTGCGCCGCGCTCGCGGCTGTCCTCACCGTGATGGGGAGCAAGCCGCAGCCGGCCACTGGCAGGGTCCCTTTGTGCTCATCGAGTGCCACTCTGACCACCTGCACTGGCGCACCACATCAGAATCTCCTCGC